AGCCCTGCAGCTGATCCATGCAGGCTGTAGTTCTGCTGTAGTTCTGTGTGACCGGGTCCTGCAGCCGTTACGGCCGCTGACGTCACGTCACAGCGCGTCGGGCGCGCGCGCAGCTGGGGGGGGGGGGGGGATGGCATGCCAGCGCAACTCATATGTGTGCATCATATGGCTTTTTGAGGCGTCGAAATGTTCCTAACTTGCGACTAGAAAGCACTGACGAATTTTTCATGTCAGGAATGGTATTCCACAGATTTCTTGAGGCGAGACTTCCAGGACAGTCACGGGCGTAACTGTGCATCGAAGGTTGGGGGTTGGTTGGGCGGTGGGGTGAAATGGGAAATTGACGTGGCATGAGTATGACTGATGGCAAAACGACATTCGAATGGAAAACATGAAAAATGCATCATGTGCCGAAAATGGGCACCCTCTCCCGGAACCTTGGGGAAGGCGTACGCCCCCCAGCCGCATCAGTGGTTACTACACTTTGTAAGTGCAGCGGAATGTGTAACGAATCCCGCGCGGCGGGAAACATGTCAACATCCACGCAACGCTTGCAAACCGGCGCTGAAGCATATGGCATGCTCGTCGGCAGCACATTTTTCTGCTGACGCATCGCGGACGCGCGCGTCATCCGACGATCCGCGAGGAAGGCGGCCGCACCGCCGTCCACACAGAACTCGCCTCGTGCGCGGGGAGGGGGGGGGGGGCGTGGCTGCGTGAGCGGCCTTGGTGGACACAGCGCGGTGCTATACATAGATCTGACGGAGCTGGCACCCTGCCACGCAGCCGACGCCGGTGCCACCGCATGTGTTGCTGGGCGCCGCACAGCTGTGCGCTGGGCCGAGCTTCATAAAGTGAAACTACGGGTCTGGACATTTTGTGAGTGCGTGGAAGTGCAAACCGGATGCGAGCTGATTTTTTCGAAGCTTTTGTGTCTAACGGCACTAATAACTAAGATGCGCCGACACGATGAGCTGCTTTTAGTCTATGAGTTTAAGCGCCGCTGGTCAGTGCGTAGGTTCATAGTTTCCCTTTATGAAACCATGACCCTGCCAGCTAATCAAACAGCAGCGTTTATGTTTGGCCACATTCGCAGTGTTAGGGCGGGAAGGGGCTGGGGAGTGGGGGACGTTGGGTTGATGTGCACGAATCATGTTATGTCACGAGCCATGCGTGCGCCCCAGCGCTCGACCATGGCCGCATGGCGACCTCGACCATGGCTGCAACCAGCAACGTGCAGAGTAGATTATCACACATTAGCTAGGAGTTTCATGCACTATCCATACACGACAGGCTCACAAGCGACACGTTCGTTACTTGCATGGTGTATTGTTCAAATCGCGATGCACGGATTATTTCTCGTTCGTTAATCCTACCAACGCCCCTGCAAGACGCCAATGCTTTAAGAGCCACTGACTCAAGGTATGTCCCGGCTGGACGGGCCTTAAGTGGCTGACCTAATGATAAGGCCGCGACCCGAGAGCCTCTGTGGCTATCGCCGGGGCTCTATCGCCCGGAGAGAGGGTGAAGGTTCGGCTCGAAGGGCGGCGTTATCGGGTGTGTGCTGGCGGCGCGCGGGGCGCCCCCCCCCCCCTCCAGCCGGGCCGGTCGGCTGTTGACGTAAACACTGTTGGGAGGGTGACCCTGCTCCCTCCCGACCGCAGTCAGACTCCGGGTCCAGACTCCAGCCGGAGTCTCCCAGGCGGCCGCGCGACCGGGGCGTGCTCCGGACTGGTAGCCGGGCAGGGTCGGTACCGCACGACAGCCGACCCAATGCTCTGAGACGGTCAGTTTCTCGGCATGTCCCTGCAGGCCCGGAGCGCAGCTCACGCTGTCCCGCCTTAACAATGTGGAGTGCGGGGTCTGGGACAGACACTGAACTACGTAACGGTGGGAAAGTGAGTGGCTTTGAGCTAATAGATGGCAATGAAGTTTCTATAAGTGATGGTAATGTGCAGTTGATATGTGATGGCAGAACACGGAAAATTTTTGGTCAATAGATGACAAAAGACTTAAGAAAGATGGCAGCTGGCTCTGAAATAGTGTTGCAAGCAGTGGCGGATCCTATATGTGATCAAGAGAGTGTCAAACAAAATTGTGGGGCGCCCTAGTGTTTGGGACAGCTCCAAAAATCCTCTGATTTCAAAAATTAAAGGTGGGGTCCCATTTGTACGCTATTTTGTATACGGGACACCAACCTTTTGTCCACATCTTAAGAAAACTAGGCGTCTTGTACATGTACACACATGAAACGCGTTCATTTTCTCTAGATAATGCATGCTGTGATTTTGGGGAGATCAGAACAAAATGAGTGAAGTCTGGCTGCTAAAAGTCATTTATATCAAACATTATACTTGACTCCAATATTGGTTACACATAGTGCCCCCGGCAACAGTGTAAGGCGTCTGGATAGCGTAATGAGCCTTAAAACCTCCAGGATCATCACCCAATGATCACCACTCAACCAGCGAGGAATTACTGAATATGCTCATGCAACATTCACTTTCGCTCGCGACTGTTCTTGATTACCTGGAGACCGAAACACGTCCTATTTTGGTGCGTTTTTTACGACAAAAAAAGAAGCAAAAAACAAAATGCACCGCGTCCGTTCCACCGGCCATGGGTCGAGCAGTTTGCGGACCCCTTGAAGACCCAAGGAGAGGGGGAGGGGCATCCCCTCAGGATTCGCCACTGGTTGCAATAGAGAGAAAACACCCGTGGCAGATTTCGTCCGTTGATCCTTGGACGGCTGGTGAGAGCTGTCCGGTGACACTCACCGGTGACACCCACCGGGACAGAGAAGCAAAACGCACCCGTGCCTTGCCATGCTTCACCTACATGAATAAGATCTTTAAATATTATCCGGATGATCGCTTTGCAGCTTACAGAGACGCGGAGGTTCTGGTGAATGCCGGATAGACAAAAACTGTCCATTTCCCAAGCTCACTTTCTCACTAGAAGTTCTAGATCAGTCGAGAAGTTTCGTCCCCATCCCGAGTGACCTAAACATTGAAACAGCAGCCTTCCATTTACAAATCTGAACATCATCACACGCGCTTCAATCTTCACATGCGCAATTTTAATGTGCGCGATTGAGTTCGCCGATGAAGAAACTCCTTTGACATCGTTGTCCTTGAACATCATACGACGTCGCAAAGTTCACGAAGCGACCGTTGTTCGCCACGACATGACGCTAACATCCCGTATTGACGTCATGCGCAGCACAAGCATCAGCTGTGAAGGGCCCACACTAAAGCCGTGGGAAGTGTGTCGGCCGCGGCACGTGCGGCCCACCCTCGAACCGTGTCGTCATGGCCCTGGTAACAGCGCGCACCCCGCGCCGCCGCCAGCTCAGTATCAGAGGCGGTGTCAGCGAGTCAGAGGAGGGGGGCAACCGACCGTCAGAGGCAACGGGCAGGAGAGGTGTGGTTTGAGTACACCGTGGGCTGCTCAGAAAATGATCGGCTCCAGTACACAGACGTCTAGCGCATGACAACCGAGCTGAGACAGGCCGCCCCAACTGAATGCCTGCGATCGGCCCTGTGCAGCGCTTTTTTCACGTCCAGGGCGGCGGCGGTGTAACCGATTCGGCTCACTGTGGCAGCTATGAGGGGATCTGTTTATCCACTGAGGCGTCACTGGAATCTTCTTGGCCGATTTGTGTCGCGACCAATGATGAAATCTTATGCAGCTGGGAGTCCACCCACACGAGGAGCATGCACGCCGCGCATGCATGGGCACCGCATGCTCATGTGCGAATCCGACCGTGCCAGAACGATGTCCCGTTTCGGTCGCGAGTTTGAGCCACAGGGACTCCATTATTGGTCGTCTGGGACCAAGAATGGGGTCCCAGGGAACCAAAGCCTCCGGACTTTTAAGTTTGTGCGAGGTGATGGCGGCGAGTCCTGCCGTACATTTCCAAACAAGGGATGGGGTCACATCATAGCACCCATCCTTTCCGGGCGGCTGCGCCACCTCGCCGACCCGGCCAGTGTCCCTAAAACGCTACCGACCCCGCCGCATCTGCTGTGCGCCAGCAGGCTGGCCGGAGGGTGGCCGCTGTGCGTGCGTGCCGTCCGTCAGCCGTCCCGGGTGGCGCGGCGCCGCCGCCTGCAGCCCGGCCAGACCGGCGCGTCCTGTAGGCGACGCCCGTTCCCTCTGCAGCCAGCCCGGCCCCGGCCGCCCGCTTTCACCGTGGTGACAGTCGGCGCCGGCCGGGGCGGCCAGCGGCGGGTCCGGACCGCCGGACTGGGCAGCGCCCGGCCGCCACGGACGGATGCGTTCCGGTTCGCGGCGGGGCTTCCGCGAAGCTGCCAGTGACTGCGGCACCTCGCTGCAGCCCTGCTGCCACGCCGACAGAATTAATTACGGCGCTGTTGCGAACGGGCGGCAACCGGTCATTATCGAGGCCTCAACCCGTGACGTGGCATGTTTATCCATTTTTTAGATAGTCGGAGCCGTCCATGGTGACGGGCCAGCCGCCGCGTCCCCTCGCTCGGCTACACGGTGTCACAAACATCGATATCGCTCGGGAACGTTCTTACATAGCGCTATCCGCTTTATGCAATACCCATTGACAACGGCGACCACCCAAGCTAGCCTGTTGGAGGACGCTGTGCGGGGTTGCCGCAACGTTGGTGACGGGTCAGTCGACCGTCACGCCGTCGCTGCGGCTCGGTGCTGGCGCAGAGGCCGTGGCACGGACGGTCATCGCCGCAGCTTAAGTAGCGTGACGCGCGCGCGCATCGATTGGGGTGCCTCTGCATCGGGCGGTATCACGGGTACCGGGCCGACCCTGATAGTGGTGGGAAACACCAGCCGGCCGCGGCGGCGGAACCCAGCCTGGCGCCGGCGCCAGCCGTCAGCACCACTCCTCCTGGACTCCACCGCCAGCCAACAGCCGCCAGCTTCTGAAGGCCGGTGCCCGGGCCCCGGGACACGCGCCGCACTCTGCAGGAGTCGCCGGCACCGCCCGCGGGTGGCGACACGCACCTACGACCGAGCGTTCATAAAATATATTCTCTACAGGTGCGGCCGGTTGCGCGGGTCGCCCTCGCCACCAGAGCAGGCAGCCGGCCGGCGCACACCCCTCATATTGCACAGTACAATGGCGGCATGCAAAACAAGGAGAAAAGATCTGGTTAATACGTCGCGACCAGCATGGACGCGGGGTAACGGGCAAAAAGATACAAGAACGCCGTCTCCAGACGCCTCCCCACCCCAAGCGTCGAGTCGCATCTCCGGCAGCGCAATCACGTCGGCAAAAGCCCAGCCAATCAAGCACTGTCCTGAACACAAACTCAGAACAATGCGCCACAATCCAAAGCTGACGGGTGCAACGGAGTCACCGGGCGGATGGGTCGAAACGGCGCCACCGCGAAGGGTGACATTCCGGACAAAAGCTCTGCCATTAAACGTCGCGCGACGCGCCGGCCGCGATCCCGTTTTGGCAGCATTGGCTAGCAGAGCGGCGAGGTGTGAGGAGCCCGCTGGCGCGCCAGCACTCCTCTCAACACCTGCCCACACCGACCGGCACGGCCGTCCCGCGCCACGGCGCGGCTCGGCGGCACTTTACGCGGCTCGGGCGCGAGCCCGGCGCTGCGCCGCATCGGACCGGACTCCGCTAAACGGGAGACGCCCGGCGAGCTGCCCGGCGCCGTGCGTGTTGCAAAAAACGCGCCGGACCCCGGCACCGGCTGACGCCGGCCCGCCGGGCGCGCTACTCTACACCGCAGGCGCGCCGGTGCCGCGGCGGCGCTCTCCGCACCCTGCGGTCGTCGCCGCAGGCACTGCGCCGACGCGGCCACGCTCGCGCCCGCGTCCGACGTGTTGTACTTGAACAATGTCTTCAGGTTGAGTCAGCCTGTTATGTGCGGCGGCGGCTTGCGGGTGGGCGGACCTCTGGTGTGCGCGCGACGGCTGCCACGGTCGCGAGTCGCAGCCGAGTCACGGCGTCCAGCCAGCGGCCGGCCGGCTCGCCCTCGCCCGGCCCGGGTCCGGGCCCACCGACAGCGGGCGGCGCCGTCCGTCCGGCGGCGTCCGGCGTCGGTCGGCGCGTCAGACGGCGTCGTTCCTCGGCTGCCGCGTCAGCTCGGCCTCCTCGCCGCTCGCCGACGGCCGGCGCAGGCGCGTCACGGCGTTGACCGCCTCCATGGGCAGCCGGGCCGGGTCGCTGAGGATGCTGGTCGTCTTGGAGAGCTCGCAGAGGGCGGTGGTGGCGCGCGGCCGAAACTGCACCAGTCCGCAGCTCTGCTCCTGCCAGGCCAGCACCGTGCGGCACAGCTCGTCCAGGTTGGACGTCGACACCGTGGTGCTGAAGCTCTCCAGCAGGGGCGGCAGCAGCTTCGAGAACACGTAGAAGCGCCAGTTCTGCAGCGTACGCTCGCGGATGTAGTCCTCGAACATCTCCTGGGTCTTGCTCTGGCGGGCCCGCGTCACCTGGACAGGGACGCCAGGCACCGGTCAGCTGGGACAGGTCACGTGTCAACCGGGCTGGAGCACGCCCACAAACAGAGCGCGGGGCACAGTGAAGAGGAATGCAGCAGGCTGAAAGGGACGATGGAATGAAACGAATCGATGCTAACAGAGTAAGCAAGCCTTCACGGACGGGCATAACAAAGCATGACACACGCGCTTATACATTATATACGTGCCGAAAACATGGGCACATAACAAGTGGCCGGTATGCGCGTGACACGCCCACAGGCTCGTAAATGATGTCATCCCCCCTAACAACGGTGCACAAGGTATTTGCTTACTTGCAAGATTAAGAGCCAGGCTCGCTTTTACAAGGGTTGAGCAGCAAGATAGACAAACTAGTCTGCACATAAATATTTACAACTGTATCCTTATTACGGCCTAAAACGATTTCGAACATGAATATGAGTGCAATTAGTTCATCAGCTAATTCCAAGATAGTACTGGCGGCCGACGGCCAGATCAGACCACTGCTGCCAGCTAGCGTCTGATTGGATGTGACGTCACGCGCCGCATGACAATGACGACGCGACGTCATGCGCCGTATGATACGATGCCCAAAATTTTATTTCGCAAAATGTTATACTCACGGGGCATTTCGACAACAACAAACAGTATACACAAGTCTTACTGGCGCTGTTTAGCAGTGTCGTCATTTTCCAATAGACTTTCAAAATTTAGCACCGCCCCCAACACAGCCACGCTCCGGCGGAATGGTAGTTATAGACCGGACTCGTCTACGTATGAGTGACTGGCGCGGTCGGATAGGGACACGTCACTGCGCCGGTTCGATTCTCAACTGAGGCATCACATTTTCTGACAAGGTTAGCTTTCAGTTAGCCTCAGTAGTGTGCAGCATTCGACCACAAGGTCGGCAAGGTCATTCCACAGTTCAAACTCCTGCGCCGCAAATTAACGTCGGAAAGTGTCCAACGTCAGCCAAGCAACGCCGATTTCTATCAGTTCGTCCACATTCCAAAGCTCGGCAGCCCCGCCGGCAGGCCGGACCGGAGTCGAGCGGGTGCCAGCGTGCCGGACTCTCGGCTCCTCACCGGCGCGCCGGTGGCTGGCAGCATGGCCTGACAGTTGTTGATCTGCTGGTTGAGCCGCTCGATCTCGCGCTTCAGATCTTCTGCCTCCGCCTGCCGGAAAGTGAACGGCTCACATCAGCGTCAGCCGCCAGCCGGACCGACATCAGCGTCAATCTCTAGCCGGACCGACATCAGCGTCAATCTCTAGCCGGACCAACATCAGCGTCAGCCGCCAGGCGGACCGACATGAGCGTCAGTCTCCAGCCGGACCGCCATCAGCGTCAGTCTCCAGCTGGACCGACATGAGCGCCAGTCTCCAGCCGGACCGCCATCAGCGTCAGTCTCCATTTGGACCGCCATCAGCGTCAGTCTCCAGCCGGACCGCCATCAGCAGTCAGTCTCCAGCTGGACCGACATGAGCGCCAGTCTCCAGCCGGACCGCCATCAGCGTCAGTCTCCATTTGGACCGCCATCAGCGTCAGTCTCCAACCGGACCGCCATCAGCGTCAGTCTCCAGCTGGACCGACATGAGCACCAGTCGCCAGCCGGACCGCCATCAGCGTCAGTCTCCATTTGGACCGCCATCAGCGTCAGTCTCCAGCCGGACCGACATCAGCGTCAGTCTCCAGCCGGACCGACATCAGCGTCAGCCGCCAGCCGGCACTAGGACCGGCATCAGCGTCAGTCTCCAGCCGGACCGACATCGGCGCCAATCCCGTCCGCGGCGGTCACTAACATCAGTGCGGCTCTGTCATCGGGACTTCTGTGACTTCGTCCATTCAGCCATATCTCCTGCACACAGCAGCATACTCCACACTGATCCTATCTCGGCACGATAAGACATCCGATTGAGACGGCTGCCGTCAACAGGAAGACGCTGCAAATGACAAAGTTCAACAGAGTGACACACCTTTGTTTAACTTCCGCCAGCTCAGGGTGATATCCCACACAACACCCGGTCAAATATCTGCAGTGTTGCTATCCGCTGTTGTGTGTATATCGGCGTTGTGTTTCAGTTAGGAAGGGGACTGACGCACGGCGTGAGAGCACTGCTTACTTCATGGAATTCTAAACGTGCATTGGCCCAGAAGCAGTCAGCCAAGCATTGGAGCTTTTGGGCGCTTCGACTGCGCGGTCACGTAGCACCCAGCCTAGCAGGTGGTTAGCGCAAACAGTGCGATAGCACGCTACTTCGAAATGTGCCACCACTCAGATCTGCAGCAATCTGGGTTTCCCGGTGACAATTCATAATGTTTGGTGTCTCCACCAGAGTCACCTGCACACCGACCCAAAAAGGCACGACCAGCAGCGGTGTTTATAGTCTGGCAGCGCGCCATCCCTGGCCCACCCTCGCTCTGCGCACCGCCCGGGACCACAGATTAAGGGGAGGGGGGCATGGGGGCAGCCAAATCCGCCTGTAAAAAAAAACGCGAACAATAACCGCACGTCATTGCCTACAAGTCACTTCAACACCGCCTCGTACGCCCCCCCCCCCCCCCCAACTCTCAGGAAGTGTTCACATCTCACCTGCAGCCGCGAACGCTCCGTCTTCAGCTCGCTGATGTAGTCGGCGCCCTGGTGCAGCATGGCCGCCTTGCTGACCTTGGCGCTGCTGCTGCTGCGCAGCGTCGGCACCAGGCTGTACAGCACGTCGAACCCGCTCTTGATGTTGCCGCGCCGCTTCTGCTCGGCGTTGATGTGGCAGGCGCGCCGGTGCTCCTTGTAGACGCCGCGGCCGGCCGGCTCCGGGGGAGAGGCCACCGGGCGCGGCGGACTCGGCAGCGAGAAGCCGAGCGCGGCGCCGGCCGGCGACGGCTGCCGCGGCGGCGGCGAGCTGACCGGTCCCGCCACCGCCGCGATAGACGCCAGCGCGCCGGCGTTGATCTGCCCCGTGCGGCTCGGCGTCAGCAGCTGGGACAGCATCGTCACCTGCTGAGGCGGCAGCGACGGCGGCTGCGGCGGCGGCTGCGGCGGCGGCGGCGGCGGCGGGGCCGACTCCAGGCCCAGCAGGCCGCGCGCGCGCCGCACGCCCGACGAATCGCTAACCGAGCGCTCCATGGCGCCGGCGGCGCGCGCCCGCTGCACTTCGGTCAGCGAGCGACGCCGCACCAGCGGCGGCGGCTCCGGCGGCCGTGCCGCCAGCGTCGGCAGAGCGCGCGGCCGCACCTCCGGTCGCGACGGCTGCGGCGTGGGCGCGGCGAACACGGCGCCGGCCGCCGGTAGCACAGCGATCTGCGCCATGGTCGCCGCCGCCGAGGTGACCACCACAGCCGGCGCGAAGCCCAGGCTCTGCGCGGGTGCCACCAGCTGCTGTGGCAGCCGCTGCGGCGCCGGCGGCGTCGGCGGCGTCGGCGGCGCCGGCGGCGGCGGCGGCGGGCGCTCCATCAGCGCCGGTTCCACCACCATCGGGTCGGACAAGCCGAGCGACGACGACAACGGCGGCGGTGGAGGAGGAGGCGGCAGCGGCGGCGGCTCGGCCGGCACCGGTAAAGGCTCCTCGTCCACCGTCGGCAGCCGACTGCACAGCCAGTCCTGCAGCGGCTCCAGCGTGTCCATGAAGTCCATATCGCTGAGGTTGGGCTGCAGCTGCACCAGACTCGGCTGGATGAAGTCGGCCACGCCGACACGGATCTCGCGCGGATTGGGGAACGTGTACGGCTGCTGCATCAGCATGTCCATGAGGCCGTCGGAGAAGTCAGTCAGGTCCATGTCGTCGGTGCCCGCCTCCAGCGAGCCGCAGAACGAGGCGGACCAGTCGGGCGGCGGCAGCGGGCTGATGAAGCCCAGCGCGCGCGCCCGCTGACGCTCCACGCGATTTTTGTTGAACAGACGCCACTTTTTGTACTCGGCCGTCACGGCCTCCGGCTTGCGCTTCCAGTACTTACCCTCGAGCACCACCGACACGGGCTTGTGCTGCTCGCCCTCGGCAGACGACGCGAAGTGGCAGACGCCGCGGTTCTGCTTCTTCACGAACTGGATGTGCCAGCAGCGCCAGATCACGTTGTTCAATCGGATCTTATCCTTCATGTTGAGCTTCATGCCCTTGAACATGTTCCAGCGCGGGTTGGTGATCTGCTCGTTGTAGGCGATTGTGAGCGTGTTGAACAGCTTGGTGAGCGTGCCGTCGATACTGAGCTTCTGCACCGAGCCGGGTGAGTCCTGCGCGGCCATCTCGCCTACCAGACTGTCGCTGTCGCCCGAGCAGCCGTCGTCGAGGATGGGCGCGTTCAGCCGCTCCTCCTCCTCCTCCTCCTCGCGCTCGAAGTTGGACACCATGAAGTGTCCCGAGTGGATGGCCTCCTTGGCGGCGGCGGCGCCCGGGTCCGGCGGCCGCGCCATGTTCGGCTCGCTCAGCCGCACCGCGCGCAGCATCACATCGTTCAGGCTGCTCATCACCGGCGCGTGCAGGATGGGAGCCAGCCTGCCGGCGGCAGACACAGCGGTCAGCACCGGACAGCGGACATAGTAGTCAGCACCGGACAGCGGACATGGCAGTCAGCATCAGACAGCGGACATGTGATCAACACCGGACAGCGGACATAGCAGTCAGCACCGAAGAGTGGACATGGCGATCAGCATCGGACAATGGGCACATGGTCAGCACCGGATAGCGGACACGTGGTCAGGACTGGATGGCGGACACGTGATTAGTACCGCGCAGCAGAAACGGCGATCACCACTGGACAGCGAACACGGCGGTCAGCACCGGACAGCAGACACGTGGTCAGCACCCGCCAGCGGGCACACCACATGGATGCGAGAGGGGGCGGGGTCAGTGCCCGGTAGAGGCACGGCCTGCACCGGATACGGCTGCACTGACGGTGGCTCAGTGCCAGACAGGGGATATGATCAGAATTGCGATATGAACATGACCAGTACTGGCCAGGGCTACACGGTCAGTACCACAGACAGGCGATACGGAGAACATCGGAGATCCATTTGATGACGTGGGTTCGCCTCCGGGATCGTTGGAGACACGTGTTTTTTTTTTGCGTGCAAACTTTGTTTAGTCGACGCAGCATTGCTCCAGATAACTCCAACTGTCAGCCCAGCTAGTTGCTTGCAGGCCCGGGAGTGCTGCTCAGGGTCAACAAAATGCATTGAGAACATCTGTGAACCTCACCGCTAAAACCTTTGCGATGAATATGTCTTAGTTTTACCAATGCGTGCCAACAAGCAATAACGTAACGGAACGGAATTGATGTAGGTTAAATCGGGCTGTCTGACAAATATGGTTGCGTGGCTGGACTCACGCATGATGTGGTCCGCCAGTGCTTTGTGAAATTGGCTTTGGGTATGAGGGAGGGATGATTGCTGCCATGTGTTTCTCATCATGTGTTGGTTGCCATAATGTATTGATATATACGGCAACGTGCGCATACACACCTATGCCTCGATTTTTTATATTATGGGGAGAGATTCGTAAGCGCAGTTCGGGGTCCAGTCGTCGATTTCAAACTGTAACTGCCACGCACAGGCGGGGCACGTAACTATCTGGCATTATTGCTAATAAAAAATGCCGAGTTTTCACAAATTTGCACCACAAGTTGATCACGCAAGTGTACGCCAAGGGCATGGGAACAGTGGTCTGACAGAACTTCAACTACGTGAGAGTACATCGCGACCTCTGGGCTGAGCGGTGGGCTGACACGTGCGCTATGGTAAGTTATGACAGGAATAACATATATCCAGCTGAGCTGGCCCGGACAGCGCCAGTCCCGGTGTATATTGACCCGTCCCGTGGTCACGAGCTCGATCAATACCCCGTGCAGACGATGCCGTCTGTTGCTGCCAGCGTCTTGGGTCCAAGGGCGGGGGGGGGGGGGGGGGGGGGCAGGAAGGTCCGTGTTTGGTTCCCGCGCGGCCCGCGCTCTCGCAGCGGCCAAAGTCCACAGAGCTCAACACCGACTCACGCGGCTGTCTGCCGCCAAACCGCAGCCCATCCGAGCCGAGCCGAGCCGGGCCTGTTCACATATCTAGAACACCCAGCGACTCCGTTCGCCGCGGTGACTACGTCACGTGCATAACCTGACCGGCTGTGGTAAGCCCCTATCTTGCAAGGATATTTTCGAACAACAAAGAACCTTGTCGCTTGATACATCTGAGCAAAATTGTCAAGCTTAGCGGCTGCTCAGCAACGAAGGAATAATGGGCTTCAGCGAGGAAAGTGTGGCGATACGTCACAGGTAACTTGGTCATTAACTGAGGTTCACCAAACGAGAAACCTGCTCGCATTTGACAACCGAGAACAGGCCCTAGGACGAACCGGATAACGCCGGATTGGGCTGGATTGGGCTGCGCTGATCCGGTATGTACTAGCACGACTGAGCGCACGATGAATGCCAGCCAGTCTGCAGTTGGTCGCGCACTGCAGTCGGTAGGTCCGGCTGGCCACGGCTGGGCTCTGGAGGATGCGTCGTTTTGGGCGGACCATCACCAGACCACAGGGCATGCCACGCCCAGCGCAGCATTCCGGGAACCGAGCCTTCCGGCTGTTAGGCTTATATCTAACCCATCAAGCAATGTACGTCGTAGATAGCAACTCGAGCGGCAGCTGGGGTGTCACGTGACTCAAGCTGGCGGGGCTCCACGAGCCATCCTATGTTCAATGCTATCGTATAACGGTGCCCAGGGGCCGAGGCCAAATGTAAATAACCTGCACAGTGAGTGCCGAACAGTGTTTAGTGTGCGACGGACAATGGTAAGCAAACCCAGATTCCAGTACGAATGTACAACGCACACCAAAATAAACAAATGCTCAGAAACGTGCGGTTAAGGCCAACGCCAGGACCAAAAACGTTCTGTACCGCCCCGCTGCCTTAAACAATAAATATGTTCAACCTACCGATGATGTGCTCTGGCACAGAAAGCCGCCAAGAGTCGGTGCGACAACACTCGAAACGTGAAATGATGTAATGTATCCTGACATGAAACGGAACCACGGCTCTACCGCTCAAAACGCCAGCGGGAAGCTGTTCAGTCACCAGTGCCACCAGTGCTCATTTACCGCGCGCAATTCGGATGCAGAGGACAAGGAGCATCAAGGCTCAAACACTTAACGTCAGCGTGCTCCGCTAGCGGCCATTCACCAGCAGCAGCGCTGCGCTCCGCGTCAGCACAGCTGCTGGCGGGAGAGAGGGAGGCAGAGGCCCCGCCCCCGACGGCCGGGCGGCGCTCGCCCCGGCCGGGGCCGAGCACCGCCCCCAGGCCGCGCAGCTGAGCGGTCCGGCCGGCACATTTCGTCAGAACGCCCGACCGGCCGGCCGGCCAGAGCCACGCACGCCGCCGCGCCGGCGCCGAAACTCGCCCGGAGCCGGTGCAGCCGGCGCTTGGGTTAGCCCTGCCCTGCCGGCGGCGGAGGCGGCCGGTCGCTGGGCAGACGCCGCACGCACAGCAGGCCCCCCTCCCCCGGTAACGGTCGCCAAGGCCGGCGAGCGAGCGGCCGGCCGGCCGGCTGCGGATCAGGACCCGGCCAGAGACCCAGGGACGGCCGAGCGCCCCTGCCCACAGCGCTCAGAACGAACGCAACACTACGATATTTCCAGGATGGATGACAATGCTGGAAACAGGTCTGGCGTCAGTGGGGCATGGCGAGTGCCATGCTTCAAATGTTTCGATGGCTTTAGGCTCGGCGGTACTCCCTCATTGTCGAGAAACGGCAGTAGGGGGACCACACATTTTCAGGATTTATGAGAAGTACAAGGAATCCCAGGGTCAAGATAAAAAACGTGACAACGATCTGTCCATCGAATTTTCAGCAGATCGCTTTGACGTCTACATCGATTCATGAGCACCAATGTGCAGCATGTGCAATCCATCGTTTTATGATTGCAACTTAACGTAAGAAAGAAAGAAGGCTATGATGACGTTCTTTAAATCCAACCCACGCCTAGTTATAAGAATTGCGCAGACAACGATTTATATGTCTACAAGCTATATGGCCCACCGTCCTTTATACACTCCACACGACTTCCGCCAGTAGATATTGATGGGTCACATGGGTTAATGCTGTTCGTTGGTGGAAATATCGACAAATAATAAATACGCACGCGGCAAAGCCTCTGAACAACTGGTCCCCGAAGGTAAAATCCTGCTGAGGCAGGATACATGCATCATTGGAGAAACGAGCGGCCGAAGACCATACGCGAGGAAAGACGAAAGAGATAGACAGAGACAGAGGGAGAGTGAGGCGAGCGAGCGAGCGAGCGAGAGAGAGAGAGAGAGAGAGAGAGAGCGAGAGCGAGAGAGAGCGAGAGCGAGAGAGAGCGAGAGCGAGAGCGAGAGAGAGCGAGAGCGAGAGAGAGCGAGAGAGAGCGAGAGCGAGAGCGATAGCGAGAGCGAGAGCGATAGCGAGAGCGAGAGCGAGAGCGAGAGCGAGACGCGAGAGCGAGAGCGAGAGCGAGAGAGCGATGAGGAAGAGGAGAGAGTAGGAGAGAAAGAGAGAGAGAGAGAGAGAGAAGGAGAGAGAGAGAGAGAGAGAGAGGAGAGAGAGAGAGAGAGAGAGAGAGAGAGAGAGAGAGAGAGAGAGAGAGAGGAGAGAGAGAGAGAGAGAGAGAGAGAGAGAGAGAGAGAGAGAGAGAGAGAGAGACCGTGACATGCCCTCTAAGTACAGCATTCCATCGCAGCTACGGATGCCAAGCTCAACACGGCAATGCACGGCTGACCGCCGCCGATCGGCCGCCGCCGGCCGCTGGGCCGGCCAGGCCCCCGTGACGTCACGGGCGCTCGGCCCGCCGCGGCCCGGTGGCGCTGCGGCTGGCGGAGTGTCGTCAGCCGCAGCTGGCGCGCCGCCGACTGCCACTGACAGGGGCCGTCCGCGAACACCGGCATCCATCCGCGCTCCAGAGTTTACAGGGAGGGGATTCCCGCAGGCCATGTGCAATAACCCTTTCGGCGTTGGTCACGGAGTCGAGCGAGAGCAGCAGCGCAGATTTGTGCACGCGTTACGTCAGTGAGGCTTTAAAACGCACTCGGCTGATGAGGCCGTATGACGTCGTCTGCCTCTCACCTTGGCTGCTCGCAGGAAGGGCGGGTACGACAGGAAATCCATTACGAAGCCTATGGTTTCTTAAACGCGCAGTTTTAACGCTACACTCCCCGCACCTTTGCAGAGCAGCTCCTTAAAACTCAATAGGTAGCAGGCCTATGGCAGCGGCAGGCATCGGATTCTAGCGTGCTTGATAAGGCCATATGTTTCACATCGGGGGGAAATATGGGGGCATGACGAGCATTGGGGAACGCCCCAAGGGATACAGCACTCGATTTACGGACTGGGGTTTCAAGGGCCAATGGGGAACGCCCCAGGGATACAGCGCTCGACTCACGGACGGGGTTTCAAGAGCCATTGGGGAACGCCCCAGGGATACAGCGCTCGACTCGTGGACGAGGCTCCAAGAGCCAACATGCCGCCTAGGGAGATCC